GGTGGCGTGGCGCGCGCGCAGCGGCGGGCCGTACGCGGCGACGGTGGCCGCCGCCGTCGTCCTGCAGACGCGACTGGAGGGAGAGGTGTTCGCGCGCCGAGAGCCGAGAGCGAGCCGGGCCCGGGCGCGCCGTGGCGGCCGCGTGGCGGTGCGCGATCCAGGCATGGTTCCGCATGCGCCGGGCGAGGACCGACTACATGGCGCTGCGTCGTGCCGCCATCGTCGCGCAGTCTCTCCGCCGATGCCGCGTGCAGACGCGCGCGTTCGCCTCGCAGAGACGCGCGGTCGTCGTCGTCCAGAGGCACTACAGGCGCCACCTGCTGGCGAAGCGGGCGAGGAACGAGTTTCTGCAGAAGAGGGCAGCGGTGGTTACGATCCAGGTGGCTCTGAGGCAGTGGGCTGTGCGACGAGCAGAGCGGCGCGAGGAGGCCGCCACGAGCTTGCAAGCGTGGCGTAGAGGCTGCGTGCAGAGAAGAAGCTACGTCAGACTGAGGCAAGCTGTATTCTACGCACAGGCTTGCAGGAGGAGGGTGTGTGCACAGAGGAAGCTGGCAGAGTTGAAGAGGCAGAGAGAGGCGGCGATTATCATTCAGTCTGCCTACAGAGCTCGCTGTGCCAGAGAAGCAGTCAAGGTCAGTGTCTGAACTTTTTTGTTTTTAATATTTGTAACCTTGTAAAATTGAACTTTGTAATCATTGTCAGACATATGCTCGATTATATTTCGTTATTTATCATATTACATTATTTCTACTTGCTATTATTATTATTGTTATTATTATTATAATCTCGCACAACAAACAGGCTGGTGATATAGCTCTTTGGCTGTATACATGTTCGCCATTTATTTACGATGGAACACTTCGCTCTTTGTTGTCATAATCTACTCAAAGCAGCTGTATATAACCATCTGTGTACATAATGCATATAATATCATCCGCCATTTATTGTTTACAAGGTCATGAAAGAAGCTCGCGCATCATGGCTGCAAAATTTTGCTATGCTAGCACAGCGCCACCTATCGGTCATCAAGTTGCAGCGGTGCTACAAGAACTACAAGGCCCGACAGCTGGCCATGCAGAGGCTCCAATCACTGTCTGTCATCCAGGTATGCCACGGACACACTTCCATCGTTTCTCATAACTAGCATATTTGCCAGAAGTGATTGACAGGTAGCTGTAGCCAATCAACATCGCAATAGGGGCATTCTAAAAATACTGCTTAGTAATGAAGTGCTGACGATTTAGTATGCACGCGATAATTCAGTAATTACGCATGTGAACTGCTCTAGCTGGACAGACCTAGCAACAGTATTCAAGAAGCGATACCATGGTTATCTTGCTCACATAGATAGATAAACGAATTGCCTATAATTAAATTGTAAAATGTATTCATGTGGAATCGTTTTACAATAGCATTAGATTATGAATAGCAAACCGTCGCGATGCTCTGGAGCTTGCATGAAATCGCAAGGATAGTCACATCAACTCAATGCGTTTTTCGTTGTGCAGAAATGGTGGCGAGCCAAGCTGCAGCGATTGCGCTACCTTAGACTGCGGCACGCTACGGTCTTTCTGCAAGCTGTGATCAGACGACGCCAACGACAGTGCCACCTGGCTGCAACGAAGATCCAGGCAGTCGTGAGGATGTGGCTCGCACGCAGGCGTGTTAGAAAGATTCAGTGTGCTGCCACGGTCATACAGGTGGGTCTTACAGTTAGCAATCTAACACCGACTAGTATAGGTGCTCATGAACTTGGGTTGCGATGCGCCGCCGTGACGATTCAGGCAGCCGTCAGGGGGCGCCACGTGCGGTCGGAGTACACGCTACTGAGACGGGCGACGGTGACGATCCAGCGACGAGTCACCGCGACACTGGCAATGCGGCGTGATAGAGGGCGCTACGTGAGCACAAAGCGGTCGGCGGTAGTACTGCAGGCTGCCTACAGGGGGCGCGCGTGCCGCCGACGATACCGGCAGACGAGAGCCGCCGCCGTCACGATACAGGCCTGGTGGCGGATGATAACTGCCAGGAGGCGCCACTGTGAGCTGAAGCGTGCCGCCGTGGTGTTGCAGCGACGTGTCAGGGCGTGGCGCGTGGGGAGGTCGGTGCGCCGGCAGTACGGAATCACACGGAACGCTGCCATTACAATACAGGCGTACGCACGTGGTCGGCACATGCGTAGAGAAATGTCCGCCCGCCACGCCGCTGCCCGCCGCATACAGGCATGCTTCCGTGGATACAGAGGGCGCCGCGCATACCAGAAGATGCAGTCCGCTGTGCTGTGCCTTCAGCGCCACCTACGGGCAGTTGTTATCGGTCGCGCGCACCGCCAGCGCTACCTAGCGATGCGAGCTGCCGCCATCGTTGTGCAGAGTCGTCACCGGGGGGCGCTGGCGAGGCGAATCGTTGCCAGGGTTCGGGCGGCGCGGCAGATTCAGGCGTGGTGGCGCGGTCGCACGCAGCGACGCTTGTTCCTCGCTCTGCGTCGCGCCGTCGTCAAGGCGCAGTCGATCCAGCGTTCGCGTGCGGCGACGCGTCGCTATCTCATGCTCAAGCTTGCTGCGCTCGTCGTGCAGGCGCGCTACCGGTCGCGCGCGCACGCGCGCCGGCAGCAGCGAAAATTCCACAAGGTACGCGGCGCCGCCATCACGATCCAGGCGTGGGCGCGCGGACATCTCGCCAGGCGCCATCTGGCGAGGACCGCACGCGCCGCGGTCGCCGTGCAGGCGTGGTGGCGTGGGCGTGTCGCGAGGCAGGCGTATCAGCGCCTGCGTTCGGCTGTCATCGTCTCGCAGACGCGCTACCGCGCGACAGTGCTGGCGACGGAGCAGTCACGCCGATACGCGGAGCTCCGGCGAGCGGCGCTCGTACTGCAGAGCGTCACGCGGGGGCGCCGGTGTCGGCGCCAGGTGGCGCTGCTGCGGGCGGCGCGGGTGGTGCAGGCGACGGTGCGGTGCTGCGTGGCCCGGCGTATTGTGTATATATGGCAAACATGGCATATCCATCGAACTATTTTTGCTAGATAGTCACTTTATTGAACGGTCTCTTACCTTAGGAAAGGCCAAGATGAGAAAAGAGGAGAGGCAAGAGGAAGAGAGAGGAGAGGGAGAGAGAGAGAGATGAGGAATGGGGAGCGATGGACGAGAGGACTTGAGAACGGAGGAGGGAAGAGGAGGAGAAGAGAGAGAGAGAGAGACGAGAGAGAGAGAGAGAGACGGGAGAGGACACCAGGGGACGAGGAGGAGAAGAGGGACTGGGTGAGGGGAGAGGGAGGAGGGGAGAAACCACCACAAACAAAAACACTACACCAAACACGGAGGCACGGGAGAAGGGAGAGGAGAGGGAGGGAGGGAGAGGGAGAGGGAGAGGGGACGAGGGAGAGGAGAGGAGGGGAGAGGAGAGGAGAGGGAGATGGGGAGAAGTGGGAGGAGGGAGAGGGGAGGAGAGGGAGAGGGAGTGGAGAGGGTAGATGGGAGCAGGGAGAGGCGAGAGGGAGAGAGGGAGTAGGGAAGTGAGGAGGAGGAGGGAGAGGAGAGAGAGAGGAGAGGAGAGAGAGAGAGAGAGAGAAGAAGGGCAGGGAAGGAACAGGGCAGCAAGGACAGAGAGAGAGAGAGAAGATAGGAGTGGAACCATTACTTACCAAGGCACATAAGAGCCTCAAGCACTGCTGACAGCTGCTTAAACGTAAGAAGAAACTCCAATGCTGACTTCGTTCTGTTGCACAGCTTCTTCTCCTCGGTTGCATTCTGGTTGGCTTCCTTCAGTCTCCTTCTCGCTTCTCTGATCTTCTTACTTTTTATGCGCATCCGCACTTTATGGCCTCTCCATGCAGCCTGTCATGCGTAAAGAATAGATGAAGGCTATTTCACGTCTGGTTGTATGTGCTTGACATACCTCTCCGTCCTCCTCTTTCTATTACCACTCTCTTTCAATCCATTTATATATCTTTCTTTTACACTTCTCTTTCATCATATGATGATCTCTTTCTATCTTTCTTTCTTTATTTTCAATCACTATATATTTTCTATCTTTTCTTCTTCTTTTCAATACTATTATCTCTTTCTATTGTTCCCCTTCTTCTATTTCAATCACTATATATCTCTTTCTATCTTTCCCCTTCTTCTATTTCAATCACTATATATCTCTTTCTATCTTTCCCCTTCTTCTATTTCTCCCAAGTTCATGAGCACCTATACTAGTCGGTGTTAGATTTGCATACTGTAGACCACATGTATGCCGTGGCGCACACTGAATCTTGTCTTAACATGCCCCTGCAGTGCCCGTGCACATCTCACTGATGTATGGAATCTTCGTTGCAGCTCAGGCGGCAGTCGGCGTTGGGGTGTCTGATACGCTTGCAGAAGACGATAGCGTGCCGCGTTTAACCGGTAGCGCAATCGCTGGTGGTCGCCACATTTTGACAATGCATTGAGTTGATGTGCGTTCCCTTGCGATTTTCATGCGAAGGTTCAGAGAATGCGACGGTTGTATCTCATCTATGTATTGTTAAAACGATTCACATGATATATTTTACGATTTAATTTATAGGCAATTTTCGTTATATCTTATCTATGTGAGAAGATAACCACGTTCTTTTGAATTATGGTTGCTAGGTTGTCGAAGTTAGAGCGTTCAAATGCCGTAATTATTGCGTGCACTATAATCGTTTAGCACTTCATTTAACTGCAGCATTTTTTAGAATTGCGCTATTGTGGCGCGCGAGATGGAACGATGCGATGGGGAGGTAAGTTATAGCGTTGAGATACAGAAATACCTGTGCGGCATCACTTCTGCGCGGATTAGGGTGTTCGTTTATGTAACGGTGAAGTGTGTCGTTGGTATCCGGTTGCGCTGGATTC